ACAAATGCTTTGAGATGACTAATTTAGAAAACTAAAAGGCTATACTGAGAAATTTACCATCCTCCTGTTAGAACTGAACATTATAGCTTAAGTACATAAAACAGAGAAGGGAGATAAAATAAACAGCCAATCCATCTCTGTTTTTTAATTTCTGATTTATGCAGGGAGGTAACACACAGAAAAAAATTTAAGAACATCTGTTAAGTCATCCTGGTAAATGTTGATGCAAGTCTGTCTTTTATATAAATAAATTGCATCTAATGCTTTAAATATATAGAATGCCGTTGTGTTTTTTTAAGTATTTCATAGGCATACATCACCATCAAAAAGTAACTATTACAATGAAAGTGACCAAGTAGAACTTTAAAAGCAAAAGAAAAGGAATACCACAATTTTTGTTTGTAAAGCCATTGACATAAATAGTCTAGCCTGTCACAGATTACCTTTAACTACCGTATGTTAAATATAGAACAGTCAAAACTGATAGCATTTTGCTTTCATCAGCTTTGTGTTAGAATTTGAGAAGCTGAATATTTTGGATGGGGGGAGATAATAAAATGTACCTAGATAACTTGTCTTCTGTAGACATGTTTGCCCAAGTTCATATATAGAAAACTGTGTGGGCTAAGAAATAGGGTTATTGCTTCTAAAAGGCAGCTCATGCATTGTTTTATAATATTTTAAATGTTTGCTAATGAGAGTCAGAAGAAAGCACAGAAGAGAAGAGAATTGGTTCCAGGGGTAACCACACCATCGTCAAAAAGATTAACGTGCCGCTAGGGGACAGCAGAAAGTCACAGAATAAGGCAGTGCCAGAGAGACCAGAACAAAAGGCTTTTCTTTGTCCAGAGAGAGAGAGAGAGAGAGAGAGAGAGAGAGAGATTGATTTTCAAACCCAAGTTGCTTTACAAGTGAATTGAAAGTACATTTTTGAAAAGCAGTGGAAAATATTTTCAGTGATCTATTTTTAGATTAAATTCTGTGTACCAGAATGTTATATGTTATAAAATATACATAACTATTATCTTGGCAAAATAACTTCAAATATAATTCTATTTTCTGCTTTTTAGAGTGGAGAAAAGTTTCCTACATCAGAAAGAAAAAAAAACGCACTGTAAAACCCATTAAATGGAACGTATCAGTGACAAAATCCAGCTGTGAGCACTGAGCATTTGCCCAACAAAGCTGAGTGTAAGGAGGGTTTATTCCATTTCCAAAGAGACATGGTGCCTGTCTGAAGAAATAAAGGCAACTAGAAAATTCACAGAAAACTAACCGAGTAAACTGGAAGTAGAGATGCTTGCACAAATCCACAATACATGCACTGGAATGTTGAAGCACAATTCTGGTCACTGGTTGGAGTTGAAATCATAGTTTAAGAGAACTGAAACATCTTAACCTTGCTGATTATCCTAAAAGCTAATGCACATCCTTTAACTACTCAGCTTACTGAAATGACCATTTATGCTTTTCTGTTTCTACAGCTAAGCATCATTCCAAGTACCATAGATTCTGCAATCTCAGATCATTGCCTTATAATGTAACTTACTATCAAAAGGCAACCAGTCTTAGACTTTAAGTTTCTTAAATTCATGGGTCTCACTCCTTTGTTTGATCTTCATAAAACCTAGATCCCTGAGCACTCCATTACATTAATATCTCCCCTGATAAAGATGTTAAGGACTCTGACAATCATTTTTCTTAATAATTCTATCATTAGAACACTGCCTCTTGAATTTTGTATTCTTGCTCCTTGTTCTGAATGGTACGTGTGTGTTGTTTGCTCTCTGCTTGATTCTACTTGATCACCATTTCCCCTTATGTGATAAAAATCAAGCAACTGGGAAAAAAATGAGACGTCATTTCATTCATTTCCTCCTTATTGTGTTGTTTTATAAAGCCACAAATAAAATGTGGCCAATCTGCTTGTTGGTCCTATTTCTAACATTTCATAACAGCAATCCCACAAAATAGTCTGTAAACTAGTAATGAATAGTGCGTATCACACACATGGACAATTAGAATTCTTTACCCATGACCAAAACCAAAACTTTGGTTAAAATAATATGCTTGTTCTAAATATATGTCATTTTTTTCTTTCTTTTTTTCTCTACCTATATATGCACTCTTCTTTTTTGCAGTAATGTAGTTTGTTTTCCTCTGGCCAAATATTCTGAGTCATACACTTCTAAAATTGAATGTTTCATTTATCCCATATGGCCTCTATCCCCAGATCACAATTATCCATTATTTTCCTCCCCGAGTTCCTGTTTGGGGATTGAATTCTTTCTTTTTATTTTTCAGCTTGGACTTGCTGACTTAAAAAATAATTAATAATCATAAGTCAACACATTCTAAGTCCAGAAAATCTGAAGATTCTCTCGTTGCACTTCCCCTGAGGAACAGAAGATCTTCCTAACATCTTTCCTGAATCCCCATCCACTGCACTTAAGACCCTGCTGTCTAGTCCTGTCCTCAGAGGAAACAGAGACCAGCTGTTCACCTCTACCTGCAAAGGGCTGTGTTCCATCATGGATGCGAAGGCTGCTATTAATTCCCTCCAACTCTGCTTCTCAGACTAAACAAGGCCGTTGCTTCACCCTCGTTTCTTTGGGACTATTTCTCAATCCCTCCGTTCCCTGTTTGCTGCCTCTGGACTTACTCTAAATTTGGCATAAGTATTAAGTGCATAAAGAGTACAGTAGGCTAATGATTAACTGATTGCTGTAGTTAATATGGATATGGTTTATATTCCTAAATTCTACTGCAACTATCAGCATTTTGTCTTTAAACAACAAAGCTGCATTTTAGCCCGTAATTAAGCTGTGATCCACTGTGGTTCCCTGCATCTTTTCCTTACAATTAAACAAATCTTTCTTTAATCATAAGCAATGTTTTTCCCTCTGATAATTAATCATCTTTACCCCAATAACTCTCACTCTCACTTTTTCTCACTTGCTCCTATATTTCTTTTTACCTTGCTGGATTTGTCTTACTTAAATCTAGATCACAATAACCAAGATAATGACCCAAAATCTTGATAAATTCTTGAGAATGCAGAAATAATTGAAATTTATATTCAAATGATTTTATCTTAGTGACTAAGTTTAGTGAGTTTTGAAAAGGGGGATGTCTAAAAAATGTTACCTTGAAAGCAAAGTAATTTTTTCTTTAAACCAAAAAGACTTGATTAATAAGGCATGTGTGAAAAAAAGAGAGGAGAGGATGTCAGTTTGTATAAGCTAGCTTCTAGAAGACTGGATGCCTTTGCCTTTGCCCTTCTTTACCTCAGAGAAACCCTGTGATTCATGATTTTCCTCACAACTCTACCCTCTGTCATGTCTAATGCTTCATCAGTCTACATTAAGAGATAGCGAAGATAGCCATGAACAGAAATGCATCTCACCCCTATACCTATCACCCACAAGTTATAGCATGCCTCCAACATGTGCGCCCCTAAGGCAGGCTATTCCATTTAGAAATTATATTCTGTTTTCAGTTTGGAGAGAAAAGATTGTGGAAGAAATTTGCAAATTCTGAGCTATTCCCATGATGGGCCATTGATAACTAAAATGGCAAGTAATGTGAATGAACCAAGGACCGGGCAAAAGAAAAAAAATCACCATGTGCCAGTGCTGCCCAAATACTGCCGGGGGGATTGCAAAATTATATAGATAATAGATTATATTATATTATATATATTATATAATATTATATATAATATATATTAGATTAGATTATATAGATTAATAGATTTACCGTAAATTTATGACTTAATGAGATAATCTTTCATATCAATTACATAACACAAAAGAAGATCATTACTTTGGATAAAACACTCATTATTTGTCATTTGTTTTGTGTTAGGATTTCTTTTGGTAGTGCTAAGGATTGAACCTAGAACCTTGCACATGCTGAACATGCCCTCTACCACTGAGCCACATCCCCAGTCCCTATGTCACAAACTTCACCTTTAAAAAGTCTCAAGAAATATTATGAAACTTCTTGTACTGTTTATTACTCATTCATCTCCAAACTGGCCCTCACAAGAAAATGGAGAGGAGGCTGAAGGAGAAAAAAAAATGAAACCTTCAAGATATTATCAGCATCTTACTTGGATGCTAGCCTCCAGAAGACATCCTCTTACATAGACAGTCCAGTACGACATTGTTTCTTTCTAACACCTGCATCCAAGTGTCTGAAATTATAACAATGAATTATCTATTGTCTACATATATACCTGTCAAGTGCACATGATCCTTTCTATTGACTCTTAAACCCTTTAAGTTACCTTCATGAAGGAAATGCAATCGGCCAGGAAAAAGACAAAAGTAAATTAAAGGTTCATTATTGTTTACATAATTTCAACTTGCAAATATTAAAACATAAAATAAATAAAGCTTTGGGAAAATACTCTAGCTGTCATCTGACCTGTGGTGAATATAGCCAGACTGTTTACTTACACAGAGGTCTTATCTGAAGGTCAGAGATGTAATCAAAGTCTAAAGAACTACAAAGCGAAGCTGCTGGCGAAAATGAAATAACACAAACTCCAAATGCCTTCCTCACATCATTGAAGATTTTGTTGGAGGATATTTAACATTATTATTGCTCAAGAAATAATTCAAGATTAAGAAACATCTAAATGTAAATACGAGTCTCCATGGTAAACTCTATGGAACCCATTAAGTAAAAAGCCATGCGAAGCAGGCTGCCAACTTCTCCCAAGGACCATGTCACAGGCTCACTGGCATGGGCCATGAGAGACGGAAAAGGTAAAGTGGAACTGTAACTGTCCCCTAAATGGAAAGCATCGGGGACCTTTTTATTATTTCTGTTTCTCTCTATCTAGAATGTTCTCTTCTAATCAGCTTTTAAAATATCACCCTTTTCTCAGACGCTATACTACATTTTACTTCTCTTTCTCTGGGGTCAGTTAATTTCAGTTTTCCCATGGAACAAGGATTAACTTTGTTAGGTTATATTTGTGTTTTTCAAACCTTGTTGATGTTCCTCCTTATTTCTTCTCCATTCCTCCATCCTTTTCTCCTTCAGGCTCTCTGTCCCCTCAGGGTGCAGCTGAGTTCATAGCTCCCTTATCCCCTGTCACTCTTCACAACCCTCAGTAGCAAATCTCTTTCCCTTCTCTCTTTCCATGTGGTCCAGGGTTCATTGGAGGCAGATGGCTCATGCACCTGGTCAGGGTTATGAAAAGGAGTCAGGCTAAGACAATGCAGAATGTCTCAGGAAGAGTAAATTTTACAAAATATTTTGTTTTGACACAGAGTACCAACAGATGCAAAAATTAAAAAGTAATATCCATAAAATACAATCTCCTGTATTTCAAACACACTGCCTTCATATCCTGCAGGTGTTCAAGACCCAAGTGAAACCCATTGATTTAAAAGATCACAAGTGATGTTATTTTTACTCTTCATTTCCCAAAAGAAATGATTTTAAATTATTCCTCCAGGATAATTTACTAAAAGGAAGACAGAAGCTTTTTCTCTGAATCGGAATACTTCTGTTAAGCTCCAACATGTATTTTAACAAGTCTGTTCTTGGTGGAGACACAGTTTAAGTAACCTATTGTGCATTTCATTTGTAAATAATTTATTACTGAATATAAACGGCCACTCTTTCTAACATGTCAAAACCAACAGGAGGCAGGACTCGGTGGAAGGGTTTGCCATTAGCCCAACTAAATTTTTGTCAAGAGTGTATGAAAGGCATAGTTAATATTTAATTGAGCTTAGAACGCTGAAAGGCTCTGGTATCTACTTCATTTCAATGATATACAAGGCTGAACTCTGTCTTCCTCTTTTGGTAGAAAGAAAAATGTTTAAATTTCCCTAGAATGAAGCAATCTTAGAAACCGAGTAACTTTTCATATGTTCTTAATTCCATATTTAAAAGACATAATGAGCATTTATTTATATGTGTGGTCAGCAAGGACTAAAGTATCACTCTCCTCCCACACTTCAGCCTCCAAAAGCTCTCTCTTACAGGTTTTCAGTCTCTTGTTCTGTCCATCACAGTCCAGGAGACTGGAGAACAATAGGTGGGTTTCATATAGTGCCTGATTGATATTTCTAGGGTGTGAAAGTCTCACTGGCAGATTAGGCTGATGTTGCATATTCAAACACATACAATGATGTATTTGTCATTGCCATTGACCTTTATCTCTGCAGTTTCCTGACAACCTTCTACAGTTATTGACATTACAAATACCAGCAACAACGTGCAGGGCAAAGTATAACCTTTCGTTTACCTTCACGTCCCTCAAATGACTTGTGCAGGTAGTTTCAACAAAAGCGGCAAACAATGATACTGTTGATTTTTTTTCCCTTAACTTGCTAAAATGTTTTCCATTTTCCTCTTGTTCTCAGAAAATCATGCCAATAACTCTCTACAAAGGAAACGATTTCAAATGAATACAGGTAATTAGAAGTGTCAAGAAATCAGCAAAGTAGGGTGTCTGCCATCATTTCTGTGGAAAGAGTGCCAGATTCTCTTTCAAAAAGGTCTTTGTCATTTTTTTAATAGAAGGTAATTAATGTAGACTACAGTAAAATGCACAGGATCCAGTCGCTTGTCTTTCTTGCCATAGAAATGGGACCATAAAGATGTTTTGATATCTAGAAACAATCTTCTGGGGTTATTTAAAAATGACTTTTAATTACAAAAGTAGTCCTTTTTACTCTTTTCATTTTAAGAGAAAAAAGATTAGAAAGGGCATATTTATTAGAAGACAAAGGAAAGAAAGTTTTAAAGGAAAAATGATCTTGAAAGTGAAACAACAGGATTTTATTCAGCTGACAAGAGTTGAAGATGCTATAAATTAGCTTATAATCTCAAATGCTTCCAATAGTAAGAGAAATAGTGCAAACTCTCCTACTGAACGTAATTATACACTTCTGACACTATGATACCATTGGCAGGGTAGAATTCTTTTTTTCTCAAAGAACAAAGTTGAACTGAGTGTTAAACCAACCCTTAGGCTGGGGGTATAGTTCAGTACCATACAATAGTCCTCCTCAGATCTCTGCAGTGTGCGCTAGGCCCTGGGTTCAATCTCCAGCAGAGGGTGAAAGGAGTACCCCTCCATGAGATCAGTAACAATGAGTGACTCTTCCCCAGATATGTAGTGAACAAGAAAACTTTTAGCACCATTTACATTCTTTTGGACATGAGGGAAAACTGAAGTCAATACTATGATTCCGTGCAGGCTGCCGTTCCCATTATGTTATATGAACACAATAGTCCTCCTCAGATCACTGCATGTATTTACATATGCAGTGATTCCCATTTCACCTCTCTGTTCTTAACACACAGCATTTTTATTTCAATTGGAGGTTTTCCTACCTTGGGAAAGCTTTTCTTCTTAAGTCCCAATCACATCAAATACAACCTAAAACCTTCTTGCTGGAAATTAAAAATATGAAGTTATTTAAATATTGATACTAACACTGAAATACTAATTAATTGGGGATCACCTAGCCCTCAAGTACATCTAGCCCTGAAGACACTGGGTAACCAAGGTATACTCTACTATACTCCACATACTGTCTCAAGACATGTTTTACTTTTAAATACAAACATGTAAATAAGTACTCAATAAGTACAATCATTGTTATTTATTATTGGAAATAGACTGGGAAAAAACATGCAAATTCCTCTAATAAATCTTCATCAGAACAACAAACAAAATGGCTCTGTTTTCCTTCTCAATCCTTTATCATGAGACAGTCTTCCTTTGTGAAATCCATACCGCTCATCTAACAAATAAAACCATGAAACTGCAATTAATGTGTTTATCACGTTACTGCATTTCCCAATGTTTCCTGGTGGAAATCAGAACTGAGCGTACTTTAATTGGTGAACCAGTCAGATCAAGTCAGTTTTTCAGAAACAATAAATCTGGCAATACTTTAGAGATGAGATTATACTACATCTAAGCATGATCTTTAAGGACTGGCATTAATGCTTGGAGTGTAAACGTGACGTTTTACTTGTGGTATTACAGACAGAAGGGGGAAAAAGAAGGTTGGAGGAAGTATAGAAAGTGGCACGTGAAGGTCAGCCAAAAGAAAGCCTGACTTGGCTTCAGGAAACAGTGTTTTCTCTATTGTGCCCAAACTGTTCTTTAGCTATGGAATTGAGAGAGGTCAGGAAAGTGAGCTGTCCTGGCAGGGTTATTCATGCTCTGTATGAATAACCCTTTAAAGTACGTCACCCCCAACTAAGATCCTGACTCTGTTTTCTCAAGAGCTAATATCACCAAACCTTTGCGGATCAAAAGAGGTTGGAATAGCCTGGCTGAACATATCCCAACTATAATGACATGATTATTCCGTGTTTTATCCTGTTCCTCCTCTCTGACTTGAAAAAGATTAATTTCATCAGGCTACATGGCATTGCTCTCCTCCTGCTGAAGACATGGATATGAGCTACCATTTCTGCTAATTTTACCATATTATTACATTTTCTCCTAAAAAGTGATCATTATTGATTAATAACTGTCAAGAGTAATAGGAAAACATTAACAATGCTCAAACATAAGATTATTGGCATGATAGATAGATGATAGATAGATAGATAGATAGATAGATAGATAGATAGATAGATAGAGATAGAGATAGATATAAATTAAAAAGGGGCTGGAGGTTCAGTGGTTAAGGGGCACTGGCTGTTCTTTCAGAGAACTGAGATTTAATTCCCAACACCCACGTGGTGGTTAACAACCACCATTAACTCTGGTTCCAGGGGACTGTGATGCCCTCACCTCGGGCATTGCACAGCAAGGGTGCACTCACATACTTGCAGGCAATACACTCACACACATAAAATAAAAATAATAAATAAAATATTTTTTAAGAAAAGATTATTGGCTATACCTTACTGTCCACCACATGTGGATTCCAGGTGGGGCCATCATAGTAACTAGCCAGTAACAATTAGTCAATGATCTTACCTCTACCCATAAGAACTCAAGTAATGCCTTTTACAGCAACAGATTCTCCAGGACTCACCTTCAGCAATATGCCTGATCTCTTTTCTTACTGGCTTATACTTATATACCAGTTTTTAACTGTATTTACATTGCCCCAGATTCCAGCAATTTCCTGTATCCAGTGTGTTAATTTATTGAAACTATTTGACTTATTCTGTAAGAGCCACATCTGTCTTTTCATAATTACATAATCATATATAAAATTTACATTTGAATTTCTTAGTCAAAATAAAAATATTATTTAAAAACTCCTAGTTAAGTCATATTTCCAGGTTATGAATCTCAAACATGTATTTGTCCCTTTACTTGAGCAAAATCAAAGGTGTTCTAAAGTTTTAGCATCATCCAGATACACCTCTGCATCCTTTCTCTCCATGGAAGTGGGATATACTATTTGATTAAGGTTTGCCATGCACAATAATTTTAGTTCATCATAGAATATCATCTTTTCAACCTGTAAATCTGACATCTAAAAAGTGGTGTGGACCTGGAGGGATTGCTCAGTGGTTAGGAGCACTTACTGCTCTTGCAGGGTACACGGGTTTAGTTCTCAGAACACACATGGCAGCTCACAACCTCATCTATAATTCCAGGTCCAGGGGATCCAACACCTTCCTCTCACACATGATGCCCTTACATACATGCAAGTAAATACTCTGAACATAAAATAAGATATTTTAAAAAATAAAATGTGCAAGTGTGTGATACGACACTAGAGACAGAGGAAAACGAGGTTTGAAGAGAGGGTTGGGGTGGGGAGAACAGACTGCATGTGACATAAAAACAAAATAGATTTTGGGAGCTTAAGGGGACCAACAGGGGGGTGCAGGTGGGTAGGGAAGGGAATCTGGAAAAGAGAATCAACAAAAGCAAATTATATATGAAAATCCCATAATAAAACCCATGACTTTGTACACTAATCCAAAAAACAATAACAAAACATAAATTTAAATGAGAACTAAAGTATATAGCCCTCATTCAATAAACAGCAGTTTAAACATTATTTTGGGCTAAGCAGTTGGTAACACACAAAGCAAGCTTTACCACAGATATACCTGTACATCTACATTTATTACTACATTGTTCACAATTGCTAAGACATGGAACTACCCTAGAGGCTCATCAAGAGATGAGTGGATAAAGAAAATGTAGTGTACCTTTGCTGTGGAGCTTCATTTATCTGTAAAAAGAAATGAAATTGTGACATTTGCAAGAAAATGGATGGCAATAGAGATCATCATGTTAAGCAAAATGTGACAGACTCAAACACAAATATTGCATATTTTCTCTCATATGTGTAATATGGATTTAAATATATATGGCATAAAAGTAGAAAACAAGAGAGTATAATGAGGGGGAGGAAAGACAAAAGATCACATTTTCCTTCGGGTACAGAATTTAGATTTAACCATGTATATGTAAATAGATGATTATATAACCTTTGATTTTTCTCAACTAAAGGGACAATAAAAAAGATATAAGTGGCTCTTATGGAATAAATCAAAAACTTTCTGTTCACATATCGGATTACATACATATACACACATACACATATATTTATATGTGAAAGACAAGATGACATGGGATCAGAGGAAGAAATTAGGGGGTGGAGCCTATCCAGAGGGGGATTGGGGCCAAAAGGCCTATGAATATGAACAAAATACAATGACATATATGAATGTCATAACAAGATTAATTAAAATTTAGAGATGTGGTATTCATTCTGAAGGTGCTTGGAATTCATTTTGTACAAATATTCCATCCAATATCTGCCAAGCCAAGACACTCAACTGATAGTTGAGAGCATCTAGAAAGCCATGTTGAGCTGCAGGCAGTGCTCTTAAGGCCCAACTTGCTGTCCCTTGCAGTGGACTCAATTAACTCCTCTTTCAAAACAAGCAAACAAAGAAAAGCATGTTGACTACCAGATTCTCTTAAATTCTCCTACCTTTATTCTACAGTTTACACCAAACAATAGAAAATATTGAGCTAATGGAGGTAGACTATATTAATTTGATCTTCTGTAAAAAATACTTTAATTGAATTAGCAAGTGCTGTGAGAATTCAGTTGCAGAAATGGCACTATGAAAATCTGTTTCATCATTTTGCCTAAATGATTGCCTGACATATTATTCAATCTTACTCCCATTTTTGATTTTCAATCTCCACACTAGCATTTTCAATGGGCACCCCTAACTGGCCCCCTGTTTCTACCATAAATGTTCACTTTTTGGTCTTGATACTGCAGCAGTGATGTTTTCAAATATGAATCAGATGACATTTTTTCTCTGCTCAGAAATTTTCAAAGATATGTATGTTTCCCAGGCTTACCGAGCCTACTTAAGCAGCCTCAAGTGCATAGATTCCTATTTCCTTCTTAGGCCACTTCCCCTTCTAAACTCTAGCCACAGATCCTTTGAAAACATTGTTCCCTTAGTCCTATGCCTTCCTTAGGTCAGTGCCCTCAAAAGATAATGTTAGGGGAATCTACTAAGGATCTCGTTAAAATGTAGACTCTGGTTTAGCAGGTCCCGGCTGGAGATTCCCAGGAGCCAGGGCTATTGCGAGCTTTTCAAAGATCCAGTGGGGCTTCATTTATCATTCAGACTTCAGCTCTTAGATCTCTTCTTGGAGGGTGTTCTTCAGAACTCAAGTCTTTTGTTGTGTGATCTCACAAGACTGTTTTCCTTTCCATATCCATCATAGTGAGTCAAATTTTTAATTACAAATGAACAAAACTTAATGAGTGCTTCCTCCCTTACCACTCCAAATGGGCACAGAACTATTGCTAATCATTGAGTCCCCACTGACTAACAAGATACTAAGGCCATAAGATGTATTTAGTAAATAGTTCCTGAATGAATGAAGGCTAGAAGGATGGAATGACATTGTGAATCATTGACATTCAGTATAATGGAGTATTTGAAGTTTATACATGCTGAATAATATGTATGTGTTTCCCCTGTGAAGGGAGAGTCATATAAGCCACCATCTTCTCCTTTTTCCTTTGTCTATGGAAAATTGCAATAATCAACAACATCAATGTTTTAGTTTTTGGTTAAAATAACCTGGCTTCTATTTTTCCATTTGCTGTGTCTTATTTTTAACTGTCTTATACATTAATGATTTGGGAATTGGAATAATTTTATTTTGAAATTTATAAACAAATAACACACATCTGGTACAGTAGCAGTTCTAAGCTATAGATAAATAACTTGGATTTCATAGTTGGTATCTGAATCCTAACTTCATGAATTATTATCAGTGTGACCTTGGATATAAGTTACTTGCACACTCTGTTTTGTAAGGTTGTAGGGCTTAGATTAGATACGTTTTAAAGCAGTACTGAGTCTATACACTATAAGAACTCAAAAAGTGCAATTGCTTCATATTTTTCTATTGTTAAGAGGTACAATCAGTTAATAAAGCATGTTTTCATTCTGTGTTACTATTTATTTTAGACCATAGAATCAGAGCACTCCATTAGCTAAAACTTCTGAAAATACAGTTCAGTGGGCTCAAATTGGGGCATGCTATGTGTAAGTCCAGAAAAGTCTCTATTAAAAATAGAATAATATAGGCTTTATATTCAAATAACATTAAACACAGTGTGATTGGTCAATTTGCACAAAGGCATAAAGCTAAACAGTGGTAAAAATCTGCCTTTTAACATAAAATGAATTACTAGTCCATAAGTTTTAATTCCCCAATAATGACATAATAGTCACATTAAATATCAAGATACTGAGAATAGCGTTTTAAATGCTGATAGTAAGGGTTATAGCATAATGAATAAGGTTGGACAATTTATGTAGAATACACTTGTCTACAGCTGAAGATGTTGTAAAAGCATCCTCTACTATACGGGGACCAAATAGAAATGTTGCCCTCAGGGAAACTTCTATTCAAAACATTCTGTGTGCTGTGTTGCCTCTATGCACAAAATATTAAGCTTAACTACTATTTAAAGTTAATTGATAATCAGTACAAAATGTAACATCAGGGCAAAATTTGGCTTCCAGAAAAGGGAAATTTTATTACCTGCAGAAGCCAGGTGGGAGCCACCTCCAGTGAGAGTGGATCTGAGTATGAGGACAGCATGGAATAAAGGCCTCAGCAGACCTATAAGTGCATCTTCTTTACAGCCCCTTGAAGATTCACGAGGAACCATTTAAAGGGATGAGAGGAAAACGGGAAATATGAAAATGTGTTTTTCCTGTTAACAAATGTTAACCTGAGCAGCTCAGTGGGGTTTTACGTACATTTTCATCTCAATCAGATCAGACGAAAAAGAAACAAATTGTTTATAACAAAAATCTTGAATTAGTAAAAAATTCTCTGTGGAATTAAAGAGCTGTTATTTTTCACCTTGTGTTTTTCAGTTTTATATCCATACTTTAGAAATCTTCAAACAGTAGCAAGAAGGAAGAAATTTAGGGGAGAGAAAATATTGATTTTAGTCTGAGAGTGTGCCAAACTTCAAACCCCATATTAAAATTCAAAGTAATATAGGCTCATAAAAGAAGCTTCCTCCTAATGAGAGAGTCAACCAAGTTTTACTTACCTTCAGGAAATATAGCTCAGCTCTGTAAGTACCTGAGTGAGATCCAATGTACTTTCTCTTTCCCTTTCCTTCCCCAGTGGAGCCTCTTCAGCAAACATTTGGTGAGATGAGCAGGACTCTCATTTCATTCTGTGATGAGATTTCTAAACTGAACATGAACCTGTTCTTTTAAAGTTCAATTCCATTCAAATCAGTAGAAGAGACAAGTTCTCTCTTGTGTGATGGAACTTGAAAATATGCATATTGCTGTTTACAAATGTACAGATTTCTGCAAGCCAGAAGAATTCCATACAAAAGAAATTCTCCCCATGAAAAGAGAAAAAAATAGTTAATTTCTGGTGTAAAGAAAATGACATTCCACCTCCCCCCCCAAAAAAATGTGCAAAGCTGTGGAAAAATAAAATGCAACATTAAGCCTGAAGTGTAAGAAAAGCCTCTGTCATGAAGACATCCAAATATCTTTTGAACTATTTACACCATATGTGTCCCAATAAGGCTCTTTCTGATTAAATAATGACAAGTAAGTGGAACCAAAGAGGGCTTCAAAGACCCTTGAATCTTTACACAGCTTTTTGTAATTTTGTAAGTGTGAAATTTAGCTATCATTATACAAATGTTCTAAAGCATCATTTTCTTGGTCTGTAAAATATGTCGAGGAACAAGATGCTGTGCCTATAGTAGGCCCTGGAAAGGAGGAGTGAATAAATTAATAGCAAATGAATGTTTAGAAAGCAATGCTAATGAAATATGCATATTTTTTAAACTTCAAGTGCAAAGTGAAGTGCCGTAATTGTGAACTTACGGTAGATGACTGCCTCTTTAACTTGAGAATTAAGCTAGGATGTTGGGTGGTATGCCACAATATAGTGCCGACTAAACACGTGGGGCACACAAAGAGGGGGAATTGGACAGTTGTTAAAATTTTCAGTTTTCAATAGCTTGTTCTGATGTGGGAAAACTAAGTATGGGAAGTGGGGAAAGTGCTTACACAGTGAAACAGGAATGCTTTCTTTCTAAAACAAAACTATACTGGATTTAAAGTGGGAAAAATCAATAGTGGATGAGATTTAAAATGTTTTCTTTTAATTTGGATGAAAATGCTCTTTAATAATCATACAAAATGCATGTGCTCATGTGTGTGTATCTGTGCATGTGGGTGCTTATGTGTGTTGGGGTGGTGGTCAGAGATCAACATCAGGTATCTTCTTTGATTTCTTTCCATCCTATCTTTGAAACAAAGCCTCTAATTGAACCTGGAGCATACTTTTTAGACTAGGTTGACTGACCATTAAGCTCCAGACATATCTCTGTCCCCACCTCCCCTGTACTGGACTTACAAATGACCATTACCATGCCCAGCTTTTACATGGCTCCTGGGAATCTGAACTCGGGTCCTCATTCTTGCAGAGCAAGTCCTCTGTCGAGTGAGTCAGCATATATGATTTTTAATCCAGGATAAAACATTCACTTTAAATAAAAAGGGTGCTTTGACCTTACCCCAATAAGACTGGCTAGGATCAAGAGAACAAATGATACCAAATGCTGACGAGGATGTGGAGAAAGGGGAATGCTCATTCACTCCTGGTAGGATTGCGAACTCATGCAGCCTCTACAGAAAACAGTGTGGAGAAGTCTTAAAAAACTAAAAATGAACTTACCATTTCACCCGTTATACCACTCCTTGGCACATACCCAAAGGACTCATCCTATTGTACAGACACTTGTACAACTGTGTTTGTTGCTGCTCTTCTCACAATAGCTAAGAGATGGAAGCAACCTAAGTGTCCCTCAACTGATGAGTGGTTAAGGAAAATGTGGTACATTTAGACAATGGAGTTCTACTTAGCAGTAAAGAAAGATGAAATAATGAAATTTGCAGGTAAATAGATGGATCTAGAAACTGTTACACTAAGTGAAGTAACAGACTCAGAAAAACAAATGACATATGTTCTCCCTCATATGTGGCTCCTAGTACCAAATTCTTTTTAAATTCCAGGTCCTTTTAATAAGAAAATGCTATACAGCAGTCCCTTCTGCATGAAATAACTACCATCATCACGACTTCGGCTGAGCCTGATCACTAAACATAGTCACAATTGGGCTAGCTGAAGGTTGAGCTCATTCATTAAAGGAGTCCCAAGCAAGGTCACTGGACCCTCACCTGAGTATCTAGCCACTCTTACCAGCCGAGTAGTTCAGCCTTGGAAGACAAAAGAAAAATGAGGAAGAGCCCACTAGAGGGATGCTTTTGGAATCCCTTGTCAAGAAACCCCAATGGACTCTCATATGAACATTTGAAAATTTCCCTGTTCTAATTTTTTTCTGGTTCCCTATCTAGAACTTGTAATGCTAATTACTCTTGCCTTTACTTCTCCTTCATATCTCCTATTCATGAGTCAAGGACTTTCTTCTTCCCTTAGAGATAAGAGTTACACAATTTGGGAGTCTTTTAGATAGACCCGCTGAAGGGGTACCCCAATTGCCTCACCCCATGTCCCTGTTCAGCATGGAAGAAGCCAGAGCAGCCAGTATCCCTATTTCCTATTGGCAATTTGGATAATCCCTTCAGAGGATGGTGTGATAAGAATAGGAGGTAGGAATTGTCTAGGCAGTTAGGGTAAAAAGACCCCAAGGAAATGTAGCCAGTTTCTTGCCTAAAAGTCAAAATGTCCTTGGGCCTGTTAGCAACATACTCTGTTCCAAAGGCCAAAAATGTCAAAAGTATTTGGGAGCTTTTATCTAATCCTTAAAAGATTTTAGTGTTACCTCTTCAGAGGGGGGGAATGTTGGAGAGGAGGCAGTGGGTATGGATTTGATCAAAATGCCTTATATACATGGTATGAAATTCTCAATAAAGTTTTTGTAAAAAAATTTTTTTTAAAGTGTGCTTTGAATTGAATACTCTGCTGAGCACTTGGGGAGAAAGGGGTGCAATAAAACAATAATGCTACTGCTATTTAAGAATTAACATTCCCTGTAAGAAAATATGACTATTTAAGAAAAATTCTGCAGAATCCTATGGGCTGCCTGCCAATTGAAGGGCTTCCAAGGATAGACATTACTCTTGAGGGCCTAAGAATGGGGTAGATTCACATCCACTTGCGCTCTTGACCACAGGATTTACCCTCTGGGATAAAGAAGAAGTAGACTGAGAGAAAAAATTAATTTTTGTTGAAATAAAATCAGAGAAATGGATTCAAAACTCCACAACCTTTTAGAGACCATAAACTTAGCTCTTCTGTTTCATGGTAATATTCTAAAGCTATCTAGACACTTTATAATAATTTTAAGACTGTAATAGCTCAGCCTTGCCATCACAGGCTCTTAGAAGCTGGGGATGCAAAAAAGGAGATCTGCTGTGATATGTAATGGGATGCTTGCATCTTCTGTGTCAGCATCACACATTCCTTTAGGAAACGTCCTGTGGTGAACCTGACAGCTAGTACGCATGTCCTCCTTCAGCACCCTCGGGGAAACCAACACCTTTAGCCTTATGAAAAAAAAGAAGACAGGGAAGAAGAAGGGAGGGAGGGAAGACTTTGCCATGGTTCTTGCTTATACTGGGAGGAAAATCCAAACTGAATTAAGCAAGAAAACAAAAATGATAAATTTACTGAAAACTCCAGAGGTTAAGTTGGCCCTGGTGCTCCTGGATCCTTGTGTAATGAAATCAGAATTCAAGTTCATACCATCTCTTAGTGTTGCCTAGGCCTTCCTGTCTCCATCCTCATGCACACTGTTTTGTAATGACAAGATGCCTTCAGTAGTTCACAGGCTCTAAGGCTCTTCTCTGAGCATCCCTCCATACACACACCACTACCACCACATACACACACCACCACCAAGACCACCACCACCACATACACACACCATCACCACCACCACCACCACATACACACACCATCACCACCGCCACCACCACATAAACACACCACCACCACCACCACATACACATACACACACCACCACCACCACTACCACATACACACACCACCACCACCACCACCACCACATATACATACCACCACCACCACCACCACCACCACCACCACATACCCCCACCACCACCACCACCACATACACACACCACCACCACCACCACCACATACACACACCATCTCCACCACCCCCACCACATACACACACCTCCACCACCACCACTACCACATACACACACCATCACCACCACCACCACCACATACACACACCACCACCACCACCACTACCACATACACACACCACCACCATCACATACACACACCACCACCACCACCACCACCACATACACACACCATCACCACCACCACCACCACATACACACACACCACCACCACCACCCTCTTGTCTTTACAAATGTTTAAAAAATAAAATTTGGTCCTGACCATTACAGTTCTATGTTGAGCTTTATAATCAGTTTGAGTTTGTCTTTGTAGTCAAGGCTATAAACTCACTAATTTCTTTCTTTAGATTGAGCACACACCATTGAAAGTGAACAAAAGGTCAGCTCCAGACAAAGTTTTTTCACTGGTAATTGAAAAATAAAGACTGGAAATATCCTAAATAAATGGTAGAAAGTTGATACATGATGATGATTTGATGTGAAAGAGATGATATATCATAGAAGGTAGATATAGAGAGGTAGGTAGATGATAGATAGATATTCACCTATTCTAGGCTTTTTTTCTGGCTATGTTCTCCAAGTCCTTGAGGAATAAGGGGGAAGAAGGAATAGGAATTTTCCCAATGAAAATACAAAGAGATAATTTTGTTGTATGTACACTTCCGAGGGTTTTACAGGTTTTTATAAAGAAACAGATAAATGAGCATAACAGTGAGCCATTTCACAAATATTATGGTGGTATTAGCAAACAATGCAAACACATCAAAGACAAATTTTGCAATGACCCATGCCATCTGCCGCCTGGCATGGTCTAGTATAAAACTGAAAATCCTGTCACCAACACCACATGCCTTCAGCCTTTCAACAAAACCAGCATCTACTCACCCAAGGTGTTAGGCACAAAATGACTAGTCAAAAATATACTTGCTTGGGTGACTATCTCTGATAATCCCACACAGCTTGCGGTAGGAAGGAATGTGTTAGAAGCAGCTAAATGAACTTAAGAAGTACACCATGGGGGGAAAGATGAATGTGACCGTGTTTTGCGATGACTGACTTAGACAGAACTTATGTTGGATGATGTTTCAGAAAGCTGTGAAATAATAACTGAAGGGAGATTTTTGGTGAGATTGATAACTCTTTAAGGCCAGCACTGAATGCAGTTACTAAAGCACATGCATATTCATGTATACTGACTGGGAGAAGAAAAACATCATTAGATACAAAAACAGTTACGAGAGAATGTAAGAAAAATCACACTTGAGAAGAAAATAAATAAATGATACAAATCTTTGTAAAGAGAGAAAAAAAAAATTCTTTGGAGATATAGGATTAAAGCCATTATGGTAAAGCTCTCTTATCCTCTAAA